TTGTATTGAGATAAAATAATTATGTACAGTCCCAACCCAAGCTTCAGTTTTTTTCACATATGATAGAGGCCATGATATAGAAACACACTGGGGCTGTTCACACTGTCTTCATGTCAGTCACAAAGGGAATCCATAGACCTTACACGCTGGAGACCATTTGGTATTGTATTTGTATGTGATACTGGAAATAGTGGAAACATAGTGTTTATAGGTATTGATCTTGACACTTACTAGATGATATACAATAATCTTAACACCAGAAGTAGGTCATATGGACCACTTTATGATTTTACTATTACAGGAGAGTGCCTTGACTACAGTTGTAGGAGAAATACATTCATTTTGACACACCTGTTAGAAGATGTATAGTATTTTTGCACCTCTGTTGAAAGACATGAATACACAGTGCTACAAATATGACGTGTGTTACATGTTGAAAGATGGTAGAAGTTAAACATTTATCTTAGCACCAACCTGAACATCACCTGACATCATGTCACCTGACTATCTTCCCTAACACCATGTCACCTGACTGTATCTTCCCTAACACCATGTCACCTGACAGTATCTTCCCTAACATCATGTCACCTGACTGTATCTTCCCCTAACATCATGTCAGTACCTGACAGTATCATGTCACCTCCTAACATCATGTCACCTGACTGTATCTTCATGGCCCTAACATCATGTCACCTGACTGTATCTTCCCTAACATCATGTCACCTGACTGTATCTTCCCTAACATCATGTCACCTGACAGTATCTTCCCTAACATCATGTCACCTGACTGTATCTTCCCTAACATCATGTCACCTGACTGTATCTTCCCTAACATCATGTCACCTGACTGTATCTTCCCTAACACCATGTCACCTGAGTCACCTGACTGATCTTCCCTAACATCATGTCACCTGACTGTATCTTCCCTAACATCATGTCACCTGAGTCTGGACCTTGTGTCCAATGGATACGATCTGCTTTGAGGTTTAACCTGGTGATGTAGTTTGTTGACTGGTCAAAATATAAAAAAGAAAAGGTTAAACGATAATATGCAGCAATATTCTCTTACCCATTTCATCTTTCTCCATAAAGGATCACTAGGAAAATATTTAATGTGCATGTGTAAGGGAATGTAGAGTTGTGTAATTATTCTGTCTTCATAGCAAGGATGTTGTTTTCCCTGTAAGAAGCTTTTGCATATGTTTCACATAAAGAGGATGTGGTTTGCTCTGAAAGAGGTGCATGGATAATGTCTAACATTTAGGATGTTGTTTTTTACTGTAAGAGGTGTATATATAATGTTTCACTTTACAAGGATGCGTTTTGCACTGTAAGAGGACTATACGTAATGTATCAAATAGCAATTATTATGTTGGACTGAGGGCTACATGTGATTTTTAACATAGCAAGGGGTGTTGTTTACACTGTAAGAGGGCTACATGTGATTTTTAACATAGCAAGGGTGTTGTTTACACTGTAAGAGGGCTACATGTGATTGTTAACATAGCAAAGGGTGTTGTTTACACTGTAAGAGGGCTACATGTGATTTTTAACATAGCAAGGGTGTTGTTTACACTGTAAGAGGGCTACATGTGATTTTTAACATAGCAAGGGGTGTTGTTTACACTGTAAGAGGTATTTAAATGTGCCTCACATGGCAATTATGTTATTTGTACTGTGAAAGGCCTGACATGGAGCATCATGCTGTATCAGGGAGGCTGGTATTTGTCAGGAAGCCAAACCAACGGACATGAAGTAAATTCTCTGTATTGTCTGCTGTGACAACAGCTCTGTCCACCTCACACTGGTGCTTCTCCGCTTCTCCCGCCAACTTGTCATGTAGATTAAATATTGATCTGCAACAATACCTCCATCTGGTCAATACAGGAATCAGGATAGGCTGATGCTGCACCAGTGACACCTCATTGATGGAAACCACATCACATCAATGCCACAATGGAGTTTAATACCAAACAAATTTGCAAAATTGCGATGTGTGCTGCTGGAGGATAGATATCAATTTTTGCCACAAACCCACACATGTATCTACATGGAGGCAGCCCATCAGATAATACATGGCCATTGTTGTTGATAACATAGCAACCTTCGTATCTTTATCGATAGCTTTCACAAAGCTTGTTTTGAATATCACCAGTGGTGATTTGCTTCATAGAATGGGTTCGTAAACTCAGCCTGTTAGTGGAGGGTTCTTCCTTGGATCAATTGGTTTTAGGCAAGTGTAATATGTCCTTCCTCTTACTCTATTTTGATTTCTAAAATTTTCAGATAGCCGATCAGTTATAATTTCCCTTATCAGTTATGGTTTTCACTAATCAGTTAGAGTTTTACTAATCAGTTATAGTTTCACTAATCAGTGATGGTTTCCACTAATTAGTTATAGTTTCACTAATCAGTGATGGTTTTCACTAATCAGTTATAATTTCACTAATCAGTGATGGTTTTCACTAATTAGTTATAGTTTAACTAATTAGTTATTGTTTCACTAATCAGTTATTGTAATCACTAATTAGTTATAGTTTCACTAATTAGTTATAGTTTCACTAATCAGTGATGGTTTGCACTAATTAGTTATAGTTTCACTAATTAGTTATTGTTTCACTAATCAGTGATGGTTTGCACTAATCAGTGATGGTTTTCACTAATTAGTTATAGTTTCACTAATCAGTTATGGTATTCACTAATCAGTTATGGTATTCACTAATTAGTTATAATTTCACTAATCATGCTGAAGATAAGCGCCAACTGGGATTAACTTTTATGCAACATTTTGCATTGTGTACAGTCATTATACATGTGTGATATAATTGTTATTCAATATAACATAAAAGCTTGAATTCAAACTTTCTTTTTCAGGCCTTTGACAAATGAATTGTTATTTTGTCCAATTGTTATCAGTTATACAATATTGAAACACACTCTCAGCCATGTCACCCTCAGTCATGTTGGTGCTGAATACGTTGGATTGAATTACATCCATCTCGAGAAAATATATTGTTGAAACAGTTACTTCCAATGATGTAGTTTCATGTCATCAGTATGACCTGGCGCCCAGGTAACCAGGATGATAGGACACCCTGGTCACCACATGATACTGGAGCTGTCTCTTGAGTGCAGATATGTCTCCAAGGTTCATGCAGGCTTGAAAACAACCTGAATCTTAAGGTCCCTCTTGAAAAGCCCTGATTTATTTATGTCATCTTTGAAAAGCCATTGAAATCACTAAAATGCCCTGAAAAGGTCTTGCATTTTAATATTCCATATCTGTATGAATCTGTCCCCATCAAGGACATGATGCTACAGGGTTGTTTGGGCATCAGTACAAGATATTGACATGTCCCTATATTGTGATTCCTTACCTACATCTGTGTATATTTCATAGGGTAGGTTACTGAAGAACTGTGAATACAGACTTGTTCTGGGGGTCTGTATGTATTGCTGGTGTGTGGCGTTTGTCGACCATTATTTAGACGAATCTGGTGTTAAGCACTCACCACAATCAATCATGGTTACCTTGGTGACATCATGAATTATTCTGGCAGAAAATAGATCACCCTGGATTAACAAGACCACTCAATTATTTACAACTTGAATTACCAATATATCTCCTAATTGCTGATCTACACAAAGTTAGCTGATGCATGAACGAAGGCAGACCTTACTCTTGTCGACCATCTTTAATTCATACACGCTCTAAAACATCTTATATATACTTGTCTGCGAGAAACATCAGAGGATTCTGATTAAGTGTTGTGGAATACTTTGGAAGAGTTTAAAAGTTCAGGTTCATCTGTGCCAAGACAACTGCGGAAGTTTGTACAGCATGTTATTACTAAGCCATATTTAGCCTGGACTTCTGTTGTAATGGTATATACTTTATGTACTGCTTTTGATCACATTTTCTTCTCTTTTAACTCCATTAGGTTGCAAACCACAAATATATTATTCTTTGCACAAACAAATTTATATCTGAAGTTAAACAAATATAGGTCTGACATATAAGACTAATATACAGACATGTTGAACATGTTGATGCCTTCTGTGGTGGGATGCAGTCATAGCAGTGTGTATAACCCACATCAGATCTCGCCTTTCTGTGGTGGGATGCAGTTATATCAGTGTGTATAGCCCACATCAGATCTCGCCTATCTGTGGTGGGATGCAGTTATAGCAGTGTGTATCACCCACATCAGATCTCGCCTTTCTGTGGTGGGATGCAGTTATAGCAGTGTGTATAACCCACATCAGATCTCGCCTATCTGTGGTGGGATGCAGTTATAGCAGTGTGTATAACCCACATCAGATCTCGCCTTTCTGTGGTGGGATTCAGTTATATCAGTGTGTATAGCCCACATCAGATCTCGCCTTTCTGTGGTGGGATGCAGTTATAGCAGTGTGTATAACCCACATCAGATCTCGCTTTCTGTGGTGGGATGCAGTTATAGCAGTGTGTATAACCCACATCAGATCTCGCCTTTCTGTGGTGGGATGCAGTTATAGCAGTGTGTATAACCCACATCAGATCTCGCCTTTCTGTGGTGGGATGCAGTTATAGCAGTGTGTATAACCCACATCAGATCTCGCCTTTCTGTGGTGGGATGCAGTTATAGCAGTGTGTATAACCCACATCAGATCTCGCCTTTCTGTGGTGGGATGCAGTTATAGCAGTGTGTATAACCCACATCAGATCTCGCCTTTCTAACATGTCCAACTATGTTAGTCTATGTGAGAACTAGGTCATATTATAGCTGCCTAATATTGCCCATCTTCATTTTGGGTTTTAATCTTGACTTCCTTTCTTCTAGGTTCATCGGGTATTGCTGGAGGAAGGGCATCTGATGGCAATGTCTCTGATGACTACGGACAGAGGAGCAGCAGTGGACGAGCTTCACCTCTCCCAGTTCGCAAGTCAGTTGCCGCCACCCAGACACCAGGCAACATCCATGCCAGACTTGCTCGCAAGACAAGTGCAGATTCTTCAGGACTTGTATTCAGACCACCCTACCAACAAACTCCTGGTGATGAATCACGGAGTCATCTCCAGAACAGAGGTTTGGTCCTCCTGGTCAGGGTGCAGGACGGGGCAGCATGGTGGCAGGGGGCGTGGCAGGGGGCTTGCCCATCTCTACCTCACAAAGCAGTGGCCTGGAAGGGGGCATCAGGCCGGCAAGCAGGTTCAGGGACCTACAGTTCACTAAAAAGCCTCTGCATATACCCTACAGTGAGTTTGAACCTTATAAGGCTGATATACGAAAGCGTGTGGAAATCAGTAGGACTTCAGGGTTGGATGGCTTGTTAGGTATTCATGTAATGTCTGGTCAGGGGCTCAAGTCTTCGAAGACAAGTCTACGTGACTTGTACTGTGTTGTGGCTGTGGACTCTATAAACAAAGCAAGGACAATGATACGCACTGGTGCTATTAATTTTGATTGGGATGAAGCGTTTGATGTAGAGTTGGAAGATTCGAAGGAAGTGTCATTTCTTATATACCACTGGGATCCTAACTACAAACATAGACTGTGTTTTCATGGGTCTGTCCTCCTGCCAGGGTATGTTCTCAGTGGGCAGAAGAAGTTTGTGGCAATAAAAATGGAACCTAAGGGTATTCTGTTTGTGGCAATGTTGTACAAGGAACCTGCAGTGTCTCTACAGCGTCTTCCTTCTGTGAAGAAAAACGCGCTGTTCGGGGTGGACCTTGAGACAGTGATTCAGAGGGAGAAGTCTATTCTGAACGTGCCACTCCTTGTCCACAAGTGTATTGAGGAGATCGAGAGGAGGGGGCTGGAGACAATAGGCATATACCGACTGTGTGGGTCAGCCAGACGCAAGGTACTACTCAGGGAGGCCTTTGAGAAGAACGCACAGGCAGTGGATCTGTCTCCAGAAAATGTGTCTGATGTCCATGTCATCACAGGTACATTTTCCATATATTTTCCTATATTTGCCATAATAATTGCCTAGAATACCTAAACATTTTGGTGAATATTTAGGTTATACAATACACAATTATTTAAGGTTTTTGTGACCAAGCAGTAGGGTTCCAACTTTGTTTAAAAATCATTGAAAATGTTTTTCAGTAATAATTGCAAGTCAGGTTTATTTACCTTCTTAAAGCTGTTCACTGTCTAAACATCTGTAGTGTAGCATGTGGAATACTGTGAATTGATTTTGAGTTTCTCTGGATAGATGACTGTGATTCAGTTGGAGCACTGTCATTATATGTCATGATGTTATTGATCATGTTGAAAGTACTTAAGAACATAATTCAAAGCAACACTGTTCAATTTTCAAATTCATCAGTTTGTTTGAGATGTTTATTTAACAAACTGCTGATTCAGTGGTTTTGTTTATGCTTGAGACCTCATCTATTGTGACAGTTTATAGCCTTGTTTGGTCCTATCATGATGGAATACTTCTTGTACTAGATGTCCACTTGCACACTAACACTAACACTAAACAGCATTGATAGAGGACTATTAGTGACCTTACAGTGACCAGTGTGCGCGCGCACACACACATGCATGCACGCACACACACACACTCACAAACTCACACACTCACACCACACCACACCACACCACACCACACCACACCACACCACACCACACCACACCACACCACACCACACCACACCACACCACACCACACCACACCACACCACACCACACCACCATAGAAATCTGTTCATATTTATAGGTTGGTTCTCTCTCACAATTTGTTTCAAATCGGGGGATATTTTCACCTACCTGTTTTCCATGTGGATTACCTAAACTACTCAAATATACTCCCCAAGAGATGTTGCAGAACACCTGATTGTTTCAAACTACAACAGTTACCTGTCATACCAGCTTAACAACAGTAGTTTCAAGGATATCCTTAACTTCTGTAGAGGAATATATGTATGATGATCACAAGGGATGCAGTGTGCAGTTCTCTTAAAAGTCAGTAGAAGAAACAATGGGGTAGAATGTACTTTTGGGGTCGCGATGCTGACTATCACACATGATCACACATTCTTGTTTGAACTGATCAATAAAATTGTCTTACTCCAGGAATTTCAGAAAATCAGATCTCGGCTATGCTCAGTACACTTTTTAGCCAGTGCCATTTTTTGTCTATGTTAGCATGTTTCAGCTGGCCATGTTTGGTCAGATGGAATATATTCGGAGAGCTGCTGTTTGCTAGTTCACAGTAGGATCCTGTAACTTGTGATTTGCCAACAAATCGTTTGTCAAACACGTGGCATCATCAATAAGTAACTGGCCCGACAAAAGTCTGAAGATCCTTGGTACAGTTATAATTTCTTAAATATGTATCAATGTGCAGATAACCTTCTAGAAACTCTTACATCCAGAAACTTTTTGTTGTGTATGTAAACAAGAACCAGGGGAGGTTGCACTACATCACTTCCAGTTAACATCTGACAACGTATAAGTGCTGCAGTCATTTGCTGCCCCTCACATTCAACTCAAACAAATAAACTAACAAGAATTTTTCCAGATTCATCAGACCATCATCAGGTCTGGGGGGATATTGTTATACAGACAATGTGGAATGGAGAATCTTCAAAACAAACATTTGCATAAAAGATTGGATGTTATTGACAACATCAACTGGATGTCCACTTTCGCTATCACCTACTGATTTCTATATGGTTCCTCCAGTCAGATTTCATTGACTGTCCGTCATTTCTGCAGGTGTGCTGAAGGATTACCTTCGAGAACTGCCAGAACCTCTGTTCACCAATGCCCTCTACCAGATGCTGTTGGACGCACTGAGCGTGGCGTCTCCCCAGTGACCCTGAAGGAAGCGCCACACTCATGCTCAGTATTCTAGAGTGCCTTCCCAAAGCCAACCAAGTGAGTGTCATGTTTGTTATTACTGATCTGTTTTATCTTTCACCTTGCAAGGATTTACAAGAATAATGTTGAAGTCCCATGTGTTCATGGCTTATGTGATGTTTATTTGTCCTTATTATTGTTATTAAAGTATTTCTAACTGCCCTTTTGGCACTGGGAACTTATTTCCATCGCACCATTACGATTTTAACTGTGCCATCAGCACTAAAATACATGGACTTTCTAACCATGAACAGCGTTGATCTCCCTGCAGTGATGTGGTTGTTAGATGATCACTGTAATTACTGGTGACGATGATCTGCTAAGGAATACAGTGGGACAACACCAGGCACTCCGTACAGACACAGATATCCACTATGCAGAGATTATACTGCTCAAAACAGATAACATGTCCATGCTTTCCAAATTACATTTCTTTTGTCAGCAAATTCCTGAACCACAAATATGACTTGAATTTATTCCTGTAATTTCCTATAACAACCTTGTATCATGTAGAGTATTTAGGTGTTATTGTTGAAGCAGTCATGTCAGAACACATGACCTGTTTCTTTATTTTGCCCGGTCGGTTATGAAGTTTCTCAGCTATTGGTTTATGTTAGACTTGAGGAATGCTGTAGATGAGATGGGGAAAGATAAAAGGAGAGCCTGATGACAGGACGGGATCGCTGCTAGCAATCATGAAAGGAGACTTGAAGATATCTGGAGGCTTTCCATTGGGCCTAGTCTCAGTAGAAGGAGAGGTTGCAGCCTTACAGCTGTGTTAATTATTATCCAGTTCCATTGTCAGAGATCTGAGAAGTATGGAGCATATCACTGCACAGATGCCATCACAAGTTGTCAACCAATTCCCTATCACTGGGGTCACACTGGATGACATTGTCATGGCAACAACTGTCTAATGTGGCTCAGTGCCTCACCAATAACTGTCTTACAGGGTTGAGTGCCTCACCAATGACTGTCTTACAGGGTTCAGTGCCTCACCAATGACTGTCTTACAGGGTTCAGTGCCTCCCAATGACTGTCTTACAGGGTTGAGTGCCTCCCAATGACTGTCTTACAGGGTTGAGTGCCTCACAATGACTGTCTTACAGGGTTGAGTGCCTCACAATGACTGTCTTACAGGGTTCAGTGCCTCACAATGACTGTCTTACAGGGTTCAGTGCCTCACAATGACTGTCTTACAGGGTTCAGTGCCTCAACAACTGCACTCCATGAAGACCTAATGATAGGTTCCCATGTTGATATATAATTACCCACATATTCATGACTCTATTGAATCACCTAACCTGATGATTACCTGTTTTGACATGTAAAACCCATGCCACATACATTATCATCCTGTATTCCACGAGGATACAACTACTTGTCCCTGTATGACATATGAGGACCCACCCCCATCATGACCCTCCTGTATTCCACGAGGATACAACTACTTGTCCCTGTATGACATATGAGGACCCACCCCATCTTGACCCTCCTGTATTCCACGAGGATACAACTACTTGTCCCTGTATGACATATCAGGACCCACCCCCATCATGACCCTCCTGTATTCCACGTGGATACAACTACTTGTCGCTGTATGACATATGAGGACCCACCCCCATCATGACCCTCCTGTATTCCACGAGGATACAACTACTTGTCGCTGTATGACATATGAGGACCCACCCCATCATGACCCTCCTGTATTCCACGAGGATACAACTACTTGTCCCTGTATGACATATGAGGACCCACCCCATCTTGACCCTCCTGTATTCCACGAGGATACAACTACTTGTCCCTGTATGACATATCAGGACCCACCCCATCATGACCCTCCTGTATTCCACGAAGATACAACTACTTGTCCCTGTATGACATATGAGGACCCACCCCATCATGACCCTCCTGTATTCCACGAGGATACAACTACTTGTCGCTGTATGACATATGAGGACCCACCCCATCATGACCCTCCTGTATTCCACGAGGATACAACTACTTGTCCCTGTATGACATATGAGGACCCACCCCATCATGACCCTCCTGTATTCCACGAGGATACAACTACTTGTCCCTGTATGACATATGAGGACCCACCCCATCATGACCCTCCTGTATTCCACGAGGATACAACTACTTGTCGCTGTATGACATATGAGGACCCACCCCATCATGACCCTCCTGTATTCCACGAGGATACTACTTGTCCCTGTATGACATTGTCATGACCCTGTATTCCACGAGGGATGACATATGACATATAAGGACCCACCCCATCTTGACCCTCCTGTATTCCACGAGGATACAACTACTTGTCGCTGTATGACATATAAGGACCCACCCCATCTTGACCCTCCTGTATTCCATTGAGGATACAACTACTTGTCGCTGTATGACATATATGAGGACCCACCCCATCTTGACCCTGCCTGTATTCCACGAGGATACAACTACTTGTCCCTGTATGACATATGAGGACCCACCCCATCTTGACCCTCCTGTATTCCACGAGGATACAACTACTTGTCCCTGTATGACATATGAGGACCCACCCCATCTTGACCCTCCTGTATTCCATATGAGGATACAACTACTTGTCCCTGTATGACATATAAGGACCCACCCCATCTTGACCCTCCTGTATTCCACGAGGATACAACTACTTGTCCCTGTATGACATATAAGGACCCACCCCATCTTGACCCTCCTGTATTCCACGAGGATACAACTACTTGTCCCTGTATGACATATAAGGACCCACCCCATCTTGACCCTCCTGTATTCCACGAGGATACAACTACTTGTCCCTGTATGACATATAAGGACCCACCCCATCTTGACCCTCCTGTATTCCACGAGGGATACAACTACTTGTCCCTGTATGACATATAAGGACCCACCCCATCATATAAGGACCCACCCCATCTTGACCCTCCTGTATTCCACGAGGATACAACTACTTGTCCCTGTATGACATATAAGGACCCACCCCATCTTGATACTACTTAGCCCTGTATGACTCCTGATTCCACATGAGGACCCACCCAACCCTCGAGGATACCTGTCCCTGACATATAAGGACCCACCCTATCTTGACCCTCCTGTATTCCACGAGGATACAACTACTTGTCCCTGTATGACATATAAGGACCCACCCCATCTTGACCCTCCTGTATTCCACGAGGATACAACTACTTGTCCCTGTATGACATATAAGGACCCACCCCATCTTGACCCTCCTGTATTCCACGAGGATACAACTACTTGTCCCTGTATGACATATAAGGACCCACCCCATCTTGACCCTCCTGTATTCCACTTAGGATACAACTACTTGTCCCTGTATGACATATAAGGACCCACCCCATCTTGACCCTCCTGTATTCCACGAGGATACAACTACTTGTCCCTGTATGACATATAAGGACCCACCCCATATTGACCCTCCTGTATTCCACTTAGGATACAACTACTTGTCCCTGTATGACATATAAGGACCCACCCCATCTTGACCCTCCTGTATTCCACTTTAGGATACAACTACTTGTCCCTGTATGACATATAAGGACCCACCCCATCTTGACCCTCCTGATACAACTATTCCCATGACATATAAGGATACCCTCCTGTAACGAGGATACACTTGTCCCTGTATGACATATAAGGACCCACCCCATCTTGACCCTCCTGTATTCCACGAGGATACAACTACTTGTCCCTGTATGACATATAAGGACCCACCCCATCTTGACCCTCCTGTATTCCACGAGGATACAACTACTTGTCCCTGTATGACATATAAGGACCCACCCCAGGACCCACTTGTCCTGTATGACATATAAGGACCCACCCCATCTTGACCCTCCTGTATTCCACGAGGATACAACTACTTGTCCCTGTATGACATATAAGGACCCACCCCATCTTGACCCTCCTGTATTCCCACGAGGATACAACTACTTGTCCCTGTATGACATATAAGGACCCACCCCATCTTGACCCTCCTGTATTCCACGAGGATACAACTACTTGTCCCTGTATGACATATAAGGACCCACCCCATCTTGACCCTCCTGTATTTCCAGTAGGATACAACTACTTGTCCCTGTATGACATATAAGGACCCACCCCATCTTGACCCTCCTGTATTCCACGAGGATACAACTACTTGTCCCTGTATGACATATAAGGACCCACCCCATCTTGACCCTCCTGTATTCCACGAGGATACAACTACTTGTCCCTGTATGACATACCCACCCCATCTTGACCCTCCTGACCCACCCCATCTTGACCCCCCTGACCCTCCTGTATTCCACGAGGATACAACTACTTGTCCCCATCTTGACCCTCCTGTATGACATATAAGGACCCACCCCATCTTGACCCTCCTGTATTCCACGAGGATACAACTACTTGTCCCTGTATGACATATAAGGACCCACCCCAGGACCCTCCATTCCCGAGGGATCTACTTGTGACCATATAAGGACCCTGTATCTTGACCCTCCACCAGGATACAACTACTTGTCCCTGTATGACATATAAGGACCCACCCCATCTTGACCCTCCTGTATTCCACGAGGATACAACTACTTGTCCCTGTATGACATATAAGGACCCACCCCATCTTGACCCTCCTGTATTCCACGAGGATACAACTACTTGTCCCTGTATGACATATAAGGACCCACCCCATCTTGACCCTCCTGTATTCCACGAGGATACAACTACTTGTCCCTGTATGACATATAAGGACCCACCCCATCTTGACCCTCCTGTATTCCACGAGGATACAACTACTTGTCCCTGTATGACATATAAGGACCCACCCCATCTTGACCCTCCTGTATTCCACGAGGATACAACTACTTGTCGCTGTATGACATATAAGGACCCACCCCATCTTGACCCTCCTGTATTGCTAACTACAGGTGCCAATGTGACATATCATCATGAGCATCGTCAGTTGAGCTAAAGCCTTCTTGGCAGTATGATTAGTGTAAGGGCAGCTTCTTTGTGCTCTGTTATTAATATTTCCTCAATTATGTTCCAGTCAGATACAGGAAATGAGATGGGAGCTCCTTTGATGACTCTACTGTAATCAATGTAATGTGAGGCTAGAGTATTCATGTATTCAGTGCGTAGTTGGGCCTGTATACAGTAACACTGCTCAGTTTCAGCTATATTCCTGTAATTACACCAGTTGTAACCTAGGGGAATCTGCTGCCAGCCATTGACTTTGCTTTCTCACCAGTCGGCGTGGTAAACATGTTATGTCATCTCCTCAATCATTATGTGTAATATCATTCTGTTATAACAGCTTCATGCAGGATATATGGGGGTATGCTCTGGGACCAATGAGAGTGGATTACAGATAAGGCTGTATATCATAACAAACTAAGTTAATATTCAAGCTAATATTTGTTTGGTAAAGTTAACATATAGAGTTTGTGTTGTATCTAAATATACATAGCCATGCCTTGGCTAAGGAATCTTATGTTATTATCTGATCACATCATAGAAACACTGCTTGGGAATCTGAGAACCTGGTACCAGTGTGACAGAACCTGTGTTCAATTCTTCACATGTGAATGATATATGATGATTCTGATATGCCTCCACTAAGCTAGAATATCAGTAAACCAGCAAAAGCCCTACTCAGTCCAATGTCATATTCACAGTATGGGAAATATTTGATTTCTAAATATTACATTTACAGAGATCATATAGAAATATATCAAAATTTGTTTTACTGGTACCAAGGTAATGTATAATTTCCTTTAACTTTGGGTCCCCTAACTCACAGCATACAAGGTTTGACTGAAGTACATAGTCTGTATCACAACACAGCAATCACCACAGCTCCATCCTAATCTCAAAGGATACAAGGTTTGACTGAAGTACATAGTCTGTATCACAACACAGCAATCACCACAGCTCCATCCTAATTCAAAGGATACAAGGTTTGACTGAAGTACAAAGTCTGTATCACAACACAGCGATCACCACAGCATACAAGGTTTGACTATAGTACATAGTCTGTATCACAACACAGCGATCACCACAGCATACAAGGTTTGACTGAAGTACATAGTCTGTATCACAACACAGCGATCACCACAGCATACAAGGTCTGACTGAAGTACATAGTCTGTATCACAACACAGCGATCACCACAGCGTACAAGGTCTGACTGAAGTACATAGTCTGTATCACAACACAGCGATCACCACAGCGTACAAGGTCTGACTGAAGTACATAGTCTGTATCACAACACAGCGATCACCACAGCGTACAAGGTCTGACTGAAGTACATAGTCTGTATCACAACACAGCGATCACCACAGCGTACAAGGTCTGACTGAAGTACATAGTCTGTATCACAACACAGCAATCACCACAGCGTACAAGGTCTGACTGAAGTACATAGTCTGTATCACAACACAGCTTCACCACAGCATACAAGTCTGTATCACAACACAGCGATCATCACAGCGACTGGAAAGTACATAGTCTGTATCACAACACAGCGATCACCACAGCTTACAAGGTCTGACTGAAAGTACATAGTCTGTATCACAACACAGCGATCACCACAGCGTACAAGGTCTGACTGAAGTACATAGTCTGTATCACAACACAGCGATCACCACAGCGTACAAGGTCTGACTGAAGTACATAGTCTGTATCACAACACAGCGATCACCACAGCATACAAGGTCTGACTGAAGTACATAGTCTGTATCACAACACAGCGATCACCACAGCGTACAAGGTCTGACTGAAGTACATAGTCTGTATCACAACACAGCAATCACCACAGCCGCATAAGGTCTGACTGAAGTACATAGTCTGTATCACAACACAGCGATCACCACAGCCGCATAAGGTCTGACTGAAGTACATAGTCTGTATCACAACACAGCGATCACCACAGCGTACAAGGTCTGACTGAAGTACATAGTCTGTATCACAACACAGCGATCACCACAGCGTACAAGGTCTGACTGAAGTACTTAGTCTGTATCACAACACAGCGATCACCACAGCGTACAAGGTTTGACTGAAGTACATAGTCTGTATCACAACACAGCGATCACCACAGCGCATACAAGGTCTGACTGAAGTACATAGTCTGTATCACAACACAGCGTACAATCACCACAGCGTACAAGGTCTGACTGAAGTACATAGTCTGTATCACAACACAGCAATCACCACAGCGTACAAGGTCTGACTGAAGTACATAGTCTGTATCACAACACAGCGATCACCACAGCGTACAAGGTCTGACTGAAGTACTTAGTCTGTATCACAACACAGCGATCACCACAGCGTACAAGGTTTGACTAAAGTACATAGTCTGTATCACAACACAGCGATCACCACAGCTCCATCTGCTGCTATATCCTGTTTCAACCAGAGCAAAAAGGTCACACACTGTAGTCAGCAGTGGCATCTGATGACTTGCAGGTCACACCTTTGTTTCTGTTACATCACCCAGAGCGACAACTTTGCCCACTAATGTCTGCCAGGCTGTTTGATGGGAGTTAGTTTATGATTGCGGGGATGTTTCCCAGAGCTTGCACAGTCCCATCACTGTCAGGTGCATAGGGTAGGGGCATTAGAAAGAAGCACATGTTCAATTTCCTCTTGGGTCCACATGACAGGAAAAACTCTTCTCTGGCAAGGAAATTACATTTCCACTTTTTAAACTATCCCATCATTGGTTTCTTGTGGTACAATTGTTTAAATCCTCCTGTTGTGATCATATAGATTTTTCAGTGAATGTTTGAGTGTGTGGTTAATGTTATCTGTAGCCTGAGGAGGAAGATGTGCTGGGTGTGGTTGCAGTCACGTGAAGCCACAGGAGTTGTGGGTTGGATTCGGAGGATGTTATCGGCAGTCACAGGAAGATGTTATCTGTGCAGTCCAAGGAAGGCGTTCAAATTAGATGATGTTGTCTGTAGGGATGTCAGGATGCAGGTGTAAAACAGTATGGTACATATCTTGATGCAGAAATTATGATACATTATGTATCTCGATACTGCATATACCACAATTTGCCTGGAAAACCCAGTCAATAGACTAAAAATAGGGTCAATAGACCTACTCATAAAGAACAAATTGGACAAGAAGCAACTGACCAAGTCAGCTATTCTGTATGCAAAAATAATAAGCATAATAACAAGTTTGGTTTCTTGTTTAGATTGTTACCGGGTAAGCTTGGTTTTATCAGAGACCATATAATATATAATAATAACCTATTATGTGGGGTCTGGTTTTATCAAATAACATATAACTAGTTTCCTGTTGTACGTTTTGATATTTTCACTCAAAAGCCCTCTTTGCTCATGAACTGTTCATATCTAATTGTATTCTTATTACCTGATTGAGAAGAAACTGTTAACTGAGAGGGTTAACTGGGGATAGTAGTATATACTTCCTTATTGATTTGCTGATATATTCGTTTATCAATGCAAGATCAACATGGACAATGACCAAAGGGGGTCAACTGAGAACAATGGGTGAGGTGAGGTGAGGTGAAATTGGGTTTTACGTCATGCTTGAGAATATTTCGCTCATATGATGACGTGCATGCGTGTGTATGTGTATGTGCGGCTGCTTGTACTAGCCCAGACTTAAGCTGGTTTTATAGTGCTAGCCCACTGAGATACCATGCCGCAGTGAAGCATGAACACCCCACTCAGACACATTGTACCGACTCCGAGCCGACCAGTCCTTGTTGTACCCATTAATGCCGAGCGCCAGGCAGGGACCAACAAGTACCATATGTTAACGTCTTTTGGTATGACGCGGTCGGGGAGAGAACAATGGGAAATTAAGTATATGCACCAGCGTAGTGCGACATCACATAAACAGCCATGGGGATTGTGTATGGTTAATTTAATGATTCAGTCTTCACTTTTATGTAGGAATAAACCTAATAATGAACAGACATTTAGATGTTGTTTTTCATTATTTTCAATCAATCAGTGACTGATAAGTGAGGCAATGACTTAGAGCTCCATAGAGCTAGGATGCCACTTATTTAGTCTCGCCACATACTGTGATGCATTAAATTCCCATTTAATAAGAAACAAACTATTGCAATTTTCTGTGCACTATTTTGAGAATGTCTTTTTTTTCCGCAGGACACAATGACAGTTGTGTTGAACCACCTGAAGCGAGTAGCGTCAAACTCGGACAAGAACAAGATGACACTGGAGAACCTAGCCATCTGTCTGGGCCCAGCGCTTCTGTGTCCCTCACCCGCCACCTCCACAGACGCAGCCCTCGACTTCAAGAAGCACATCGAGGTCCTACTCTACCTCTTGCAGATCTGGGACAATGGCAGCAACACAAGTAAGATGGTATTGTTTGCTCTCCAGGGTCTACAGAACACCATTAGGATTAACATAGATCTGTGCTGGAAGAGAGGGGTTTGGACAGTGTAGCACTAACAGATCTTTGTGGAGTAAGTGTGTGGGGCGCAGCATTCCAGTCACATCACAGTGTGTCAGCTTACTGGGTGAGGAAAACCCAGAGTGGTGCAGTTCTCAGTCACTCACCACATGGGTGAAACCAATGAGCACGCATGGTGCTGACACACCCAGAAACATAATGGAGACAAACTGCGATCTGAACCTACAGTCATAAGCTTCTGACATACCCAAGGGACATGACTTTGTTACACAAGACTCATTATAAGCCAGTCTTAACTCCAGTAAGATGTCCTTGCTAGTTCTCCAGGCTAGCTATTCTCGAAACGTTCGTAGCCCTACGACCTTTTAAGCCCATTCTTAACACATTGGCTACAATCAAAATTACGAATTCTTAGGGCTATGAACGTTTAGAGAATAAGGGCCCTGGTTCTTGGACAGGATAACAACTATGGCTGTGTTATATGGGAGTTCCAACAATCATAGATGGCTTGTTGAAACAGGAACTGACCACGGCTCGTTGCCCATTTGCTGCCCTAATTAACATTTTGATTCCCTACTTTGTTCTTTGGCTTTTCTTCTTCAAACTTCACAAGTCACACGGTAACACATATTTTTAACTAATTAGTGTATTAAATTTTGCAGGCACATCCAAGTCATCAACTGCTGACACTGTGGTTTCCGTGGAGACGGGTTCCGGCGGCGGCACCACAGCAGAGTCATCTGAGAGTCAGCCACGGCAGGAGCGTATCGCAATGGATGGAGACTAAGAAACATCTGTTATCACAGACACAGACTAGAAGCTTCAGCCGTATGTTGCCTCAGACTAGTGGCTTTGACTATTGTCTTGGACTCAGCTTGTAGAATTAAAGACGCTGTGAGGCGAGGTCATCCAAAGTTCCAAACCAACACTGCCAATATGACATTATGTTTCTAGTGTACAACTATGTGAGTTGCTCTGTATTCTGGGTGAGTGTGTATTGTGGGTCCTTTGGCCTGCTTTCATCGCCTGTACATGCCATAGTGTTGATGTTTGTGTGTGTGTCCAGAAACCAGTGGACATTGTTTATTGCTAAGATCATCTGATGAATGGACATCAGACTATGAACCTCACTTTTGTATTGATTTTAGAACCAAACGCCTATATTGATACACAAAGCTGAATTTTCAAAGAAGAATACTCTGTTGTTATTTTATACAACACATTTAGTGGACAAAGTGCAATATATTGACAGCTTTTGCAGCAGTCTTCAGCAAATGTTCGTCCATCTCACCTGTTGACAATTTGTTGACATCTCATGTAGTTGAAGCAGCAGACATCACTGCTACAGACTCTGATCACCACCACCCCCATTAGCACCTTCTCCTTCACCCCTGCTGGGAGTCTTCTGTCATGTGACCATTCAGCAGATCGACACCAAATCTAGCCATCCCTGCAGCTAGATGATAGATGAAGATGGTGAAGCAGGTTCAGTCAAGTCATACCACCTTTCAACGTTTTTGATGATTAGATAGTCAGTGTTTGTCTGCCCAGTCGGGTTCTAGATGTATTGTAGGAGATACTGGATGAATACGGGTCATCGAAGCCTGAAGCAGGAACGGTTGTGGAAGTGGAATACGGACATACCTTAGTGGAAGAAATAGAATATGTAGTTTGTTGGTGATAGAGCTATTTAACGTCTATGGAACCTCTTGTCAACATCCAAGAAACCTCTTGTTGACTGATGCTGGAACAATACGCACAGAGCACATCATGATTGTGAATTGCTGTGCATTTTAAACGCATGTATTATTAAATGAATTTTTGGGGGGGAGGGGTTCATGGGTTTATTACCAGATGATGTACAAGGATTTCCAGTGTCGAGGAATACAGACACAGAGCACTGTGATGACATGGCCACATGTTAGCTAGGCAAGACTCATGGCTTTTTGGCATCTATTAAACAATACTCTTTAGGAAACCCACTGTAAAGGTTTTTTGAACTTTTATCATATAGGAACTGAATATGTTTTATGAATTTTAGAAAGTTATAAATGAGAAAAGAAGTTTAATATGTGCTATAGATATTTCAGCAATGTTCCAAAAAGTGCTGTTGAACATTAGCACATGTATACTTGAAGATATGTATTAAGCCATGTGATTATTTGTAGATGATGTCAGACATACAAAGAACATGGTCCTTCTCTTTAATTCCACAACAAACAAATCTGGCAAATGATTGAGGTGGTGATACAGTTGTGACCCCACTATGGTAGACCACACCAGTATGAGTACTTTCAGTCAGGGCGATACTCTGAGAGCAGCTACATAAATGGTGAACTGAGCCTTCAGTCTTGACACAGGAGATAAATGGCACGCTAGCAGTACACGTAGTCACACTTCCGACAATCGGTCAGCCTTGCTGACAATATCACGGCAATAAACAGTTTCACAGTCACATGAATGATGTTATATTGATATACTCATTTGTTTCCAAATTATTTATCACAGAATGTCATTTTTGCTTTTTGATAGTTGCATGGATACAGTACTGTTAGGACTGTTACCTTTCAGTAAACATTTCACAGAACATCAGAATATTTCAAAGGATTTCAAAACAATTCAGTGATTGTGTTTCTCATATAGATAGATATATATATACATATAGAAACAGGGTGGATAGTTAGAGGAACAAATACCTCAGATTCTTCATCTGAACCAACCTTGCATCGTTAATGTAAGGGAGATAACTCCACATATTTATACCAGGGACTATCAAAAAAGGCTGCTTGTTTTCTCAAATATATCCGTAATGGACATTATTTGCAAAGTATCTGTTTTGGAGGTGATCTACGAATCTCATACAAATTTATGCCACTGTCAAGTAATGAGAAATTCGCACTTTTCACCCAAAATATATTAGTCTATTTTTAGGGGTTTTCAGAATGTTATATCATTAGTAGAATAATGCGTATCATACTACTTTAAATTGCCTGTATTACCCAGATCCCTTGTCTGTTATGAAGAAAGAGTTGTGTACGACAGTTGGACTGTTTCTGTGATGAACGTCTCATGCGTTCCAACACACATCTCTGTGTGGTCGATATTCAGCGGTTGTGGTGTTCATCATTGCACTTTTCTATATTCTTATACAACAACTAGTGAAGAGAAATTGTTTTAGCATCTGTAACATATGTACTCCTGTTATTCAATGCCATTGTTGAAATGTTGTAATATACTTTAATGTTTGCTCCTGTTTCAAATGCAAACTTGAAGGTTGTGGATACAAGGCTAAGAATCAGTATTTAGCAGCTGAACTGACACAAACACTCTCTGTTGTACATGGGGAGGGTTCACATGAATGTTGTCCGTCTCCTGTTGACGTTGTGTGACTTACACTGTCACTCTCATCCAACTAGCTTCTCTTCTGTTGCTTTCTGTTCCCCGACTGACTTGCAGTTTAAATACTGAAGCAGCCTGACAGAAGAACAAATGGATACTGGGAAGAAGTAGAAACTTGTGAGTCAGGGTCCAGCTGCTCAGTAATAGCTCTCAGTTCACTTTTTGAACCAAAACAAAGGGAAATAGTCTGGATGTCAACACAGTTGAACTAGGGTAATTTTAAAGCAGAATAAGTTTGAACTGTTGTATTGTGCTTTGTACATGTGTGGAGAATGGTCAGTCCTCTCCGTACAAGTAGTGGATACACAGGATTGTGTAGATAGTTACTGTACTAAATGAGACAATCATGGTTTGGTTGGTTTTGTTGGTTGAAGTTGTTTTCTGTGTGTAATAATTGCTCTTGTTTATAATGAAGTGTGATATTTTCCTCGTGCAATATAAAAGTCTATTGCCTTAGTTTATCAATAGGCCTTAATGCAGGGTTAAGTGGGTGTATTGTCACCAGGGGCGGTGATCATGCTATTACCTGTCTGCAGCAAGCTATCTTAACATCCAGTTCAGTGGTACAGTGACTTACATTCTGTAGTGCAGGCAAACATCCAGCTCAAACCAGGGTGAATTTAATTATTAATTTTATTAACAGAATGAAATTAACTTGAAACTTTTTTTCAGCAGCAAACCTGTGAAACACGAAACTAAATAAAAACAAAATGAATTTAATCCAAAAACCAGGGAAATTAGGACAGTGATAGTTAGACCACTCTGTTTTCAAGATTGTGCTTAAGATTAGAGATTCTCCAGATTTACTAAACAGGATATTAATTTTATTTATAAGGCAAATGATTGTTTACGTAAAGCACTATGACACAGTTTATCTTCAAGTCCACCATATCAGGAACAGAGAGCTATACCAAAGCAACAATCTCCCCCCAAACTGCTAATTCTGTTTGTGATAAGTATTTCAATTATAATGTACAAATATTCTTGTTTTGAATGAGAGGTGATTTGTTCATCTTATTTGTTATAACTGCAGCTAGTTTGTTTTGTATATAATCCATCATTACAGCGGAAATGTTCCAACATCGTCTTAGGTTTTATGATGGGATGCCATAGCCCCAGGTTGGAGGATGTGTTGTCGTATATCCCCAGGTTGGAGGATGTGTTGTCGTATATCCAGTTTACTATTTACTTGTGCAATATAGTTTCAGTTGTTACTTTGTCCATTATTTTGTTATGCTATTTGTTATACATCGTATTGTTTGTTGTTACTTGGGCTCAACTGTAAGTCAACTATTCCACCAGTTCTCCAACCCAGATGTATAATATTCTGTGTTCTCACTACAAAGCATCCTCGATAATCTCCAGGGTATACGTTACGATCACTCCACACTATACCCTGGATGCATCCACGGCTTGGCCCGATGATTTTATTACCTCCCTTGGCTGGCTTTTTATCCAATCAGGTGTCTACGCTGGGAAGTTGAGCGAACGAATCACAACTCACTTTCGCTTCTTAAATTATCTAACCATTTAAACTTGGCAACACAATTAATGCAGAGGTACTCTGAAAGAGGTAGAAGGAATTCTTTATATATTTTTTTGAAAGTTTCAGATCTGTCAATTTGTCTCTATTATTTCCTAAAAAATCTGAGTGGCACTGCGAAGAAACCTTCGCGACTGTGACCGCTATCTTTGTTGACACTGGCAAGCTCGGATGTAACGGCGGCTTAGCTGATTGGCTGCTGTGAGAATGCGGAGCCAGCCAAGGAAGGTAATAAAATCATCGGGCCAAGCTGTGGATGCATCCAGGGTATAGTGGAGAGTGATCGTAACGTATACCCTGGAGATTATCGAGGATGACTACAAAGTGGCTCGCAGAATGTATACACCTGGGGTGAGAGAATGTCTGCTACTCCTGGTCGCATAGGATCAGAGATCAACATCGTAGCTTTTTTGAGATTTAGAATTAAGATTGGTTCCAGTCATCTAAAATTATTTGATTTTGTCTCATTTCTGTACATATATAAATATCAGTAGAATATAACATGGTAAATAGAGGTGTCAGTACCAGAAATGATAATGATAGTAATAATTGATAAAAGGATATTTGTAATGTGCTAAAGACCACCAGCATGCCATTATCACCCCAGTCAGTGGAATAGTGTAAACTTAGTTTCCTCCTCACCTCCCTGAGGAATATACAACCATGTTGTCTGTAAGACTCCAGAAGGTTAAAAGACACACTCCAACCTCATCCGACCAGGTCCCCATTCACTGCTGGGTAAATAGAGGTTGATTGCAGCAACAAAGTCACCAGCTTAGGAAACACCACATCTGCTACATGGGAATCAGCGTAAGCCTACAAAGTGTCTGTATACAGTGAAGGAGAGGGCAGTAGTAGTACAAACAAAACGGTGCCACCTGTGACTGGGGTTCAGTTTTACACACAGGTGTAATATCTTAGTGTCCCTAGTTGTGGAATATTTCTAACAAGGACGTAAGGCCCTACCCATGTAATCTTATCGGGGTGGTAAGATGTCATCTACCATGACGATATTTCTGTCATGGTTTAATATTATATTAAAGTTTCTTTTTAATTGATATCATACTCATTATTTAGTTCAGGACAAGATCAAGTTATTTTAGGATTGTTTATATATATTTTTTACTTACAAGAAATCTAGTCATTTTATCGTTCATTTTACATATTAGATCTGTCATATCATGAGATTTTTCTTTCTTCTATTTTACATGTTTCTTATTTATTTGATATCTTACTTGATATACTTAGACCGCTCTCAGTAGTGAGACTGTTAGCGCTGCTTGTTTCCAGGCAACAACAGTTCCTGGAAGGTATACAACAGTGTGGTGTTGTCTTGCAGTTAGCATTGTTATTAAACACATTCGTCAGTTTTATCAATCATTTTATTTATGAGCTATATGTTTTGTTTGCCAAAGATGAAATTACACTCAAGCCAATATTTATGTCATTTGCCTTTTGTGTAGGTAGAATTTAATTGTCTGACCTGCTTTAATGTGCATCATAATTTCTTTTTCGTCCCAGTTAATGACAAGTGTAATTGGCTGTCTAGATCTGGCTGGTACCAACATCTAGGTCCAGGGTTTTGTGGAACCTGTCATTTATTATGGGGGCTTGTGCAAATATCATTTTAAAACAAGAAACATGGGCCATGCTCTGGGATCAGCCCAGATTCAGTGTTAGCTGTTAATATACAGTACATAATTGTTAGATGTGTAATGGAATAGATGGCATTTAATCATTGCCAAATCTTTTTCTGATTTTCAAAATAGAATATAAGAAAGACAAAAATGCTATTTTGAAGGGTCGTGAAGGGACAATAATGTTACGATAAGTCATATTTCAGCAGTTGTCTCATGGGTTGGGGAGGGGGGAACCTATACCATGGCACTGTGGAATGTGCCAGGAACACAATATCATGTTTTGGGAGGGGTAATCTTGTCTTTATGCACTTGAGGAGAATATTTGGATCCCCTATAATGAGTGCCAGACCTTCTAACCCTTGTTCCTGGCCCTGTAGATGGGCCACCCAGCCTGTCAGAGAGACAGCTGTAACCCCTCAGTTCTATGTGTGCGATTACTGTTTCTGGCCATGACTGTTTGATTGCAGCAGAGCAATAACAAATGTTCCAACTTCTGAATTGTGTGGAAAATCTTAAGAAACGATTATGATTATATTCCTTGATTGCGTCTTATTTTGTGTTTAGCGTATGTCATCACGACTAGATCTATAGGAATTTTCACAGAAATTTTTTCAAAACATTTTCTGGTTGGTGTATGGCTATAATCAGGAATACTCCCTGGTATAATTCAGGAGATTTTACACAAAACTATTCCCCTTTTGACTATTTCCATTTCATATTGCCTGCTGGAAGTGGAACCTTAACTTGTACAAAGCTTGACAGTGGAAGAGAGCAGTGAAAGAATATACATGGAATGTGTTGTGTGGATGACATCATGTTTGTGTATCGCACCACATGACACAAGACGAATGTATGTACAGATCTGTTGTTGCATACTGACCCGGCTGCTTTAGCCAGTCCTAGTCCTGCATATACAAATACTGAGATATATATTATATATTAAGACTGGCTTGCAATCATGGTATATTCTATGTTTCTACAAATTATCAGTCTCTTGAACAATTTCATAAGGAGGTGAAATTAAAAAGAGCTATAATGAACAAAATTGAGTTTGTTGTCCTTCCCTGAGAATTCCATGGGCTCACGTGTCAAGGAGTGTGAGATGCTTGATGTTTACCATACAGAAGGAAGTGCTCACAGAACCATTGTGACTTATATATTCATAAAGTCATGTTCAGCCCTGCTATGAACTGAACCCTTATATTTTAGTTTCATAATTTGAACATAGACTGTTTATAAACGATATATAATTGCTTTGCCTAATCACTCCTGTAATGGCCAACATTAGGCCAATCTGCTTTGGAAGATATGTGAGAAAAAGATCACAGAAAAGTTGTTAAGGTGTGTTGTTACACCATGGTAATGCACCTGTGTACAAATCTGTTGTTGCTATAGCAACAGTGTATGACTGTGGCCTCCATCGTCCCTAATCACCAGATCTGGTTTAGTCAAATTTCTGTGACTTCCCAAACAAGAAGAAAGGACTATTTGGAAAGCATAATGATGAAGCCATCACTCTTCTTCAGAGGACGTTTTACAGCACCATTAGGAAGCCTTCTACACCAGCAAGACCCTGGCCCTACAACATTACTGACAGATGTGTGTGGACCTCACACCATCATAGCTCGGCTCAGAACTTGTCAACCACCACTCATAGCATGATCAGTCTACTGTGAGAGGAAAGACTGAAGTGACGCAGGTAGCAGACATTGACCTGGTGATACAGAATGGCATGGGTAGACAAATTAGGGATCACAGTGACCCCACAAAGCTGTAGATATCCCTGAATCAGTGGTCTGGCTGCTTTGGTGGACTGGCATCTCTTTGAGCTATCCTCCAAAATTAACTTGACATGTTGTGAAATTAAGGATTGTGAAAATGACACTTTTTTGTTTGATATATTAAGTGTTTATTCCTAATTTTCAAATATTAAGTGTTTATTCCTAATTTTCAACCAATCATGGTTTCAACCAATATTATGGAATCAGTTATGACAAATGACCAATCCACTTTGATTACAAATATTTTATTGTTCCAAATGGGAATCAAACCTGGTAGGATGCATGACTGGCAAACACCTTGCCCAATAGGCTATTTACAGTGACCTAGTCTCTTTGGTTAAAAGTTTGGTTGGCACATTTTTAATGAATTATTTTTTGTACTATTGAGACCCTCTTTTCCTGGACATGCTTTTATCTTCAAGTGTGTGTTTGATAGTCAAAAAGATATAAATTCAATACTCAAATCTGAACATGTTCTCCCTGTGAGTTGGGTTATAGTCACAGTTTGCTTGCTGTCAGCGCTTCCTTGACTAGTCGTGCCGTATGTTGGGCACATCCCCAGTGCAGTGCAACCCCAGCACCCCCGTGGCCGTAGTTGTGTACAACCTGCAAAATCATCGACAACCTATCTACCAGCGCATTACACCTACATAGATTCATTTGTAGTCCTGCTAACTACTGCAAGGTGTGCTCTCACACAGATAAGTCAACAGGATCCGCAGGTGTGCTCTCACACAGACAAGTCAACAAGACTCGCAGGCTTGCTCTCACACTGACAAGTCAACAAAAGGCTGTGCTTGTCCATAGGTCAGATTAGCAGTTGCTCAAAGGTTTTAACTTCAAACATAACCTTTAATATAATTCAACAGTCTACGTTTAGGGTATCTGGCATCATTGATATATATTTAACTTTAAGAAAATGTGGAAGAACGCTGGTGGAATTTGTAGGATGTAAATGTCGACCTACTGGTAGTGTCTCCCCAGATCTCATCTTCAGATGTTGTGTCTCCAGTCGAATTTGTGTCCTTCCGGGCCTAAGGCCTGTCAGCACAGACTCGATCTCCACTCCCTTCAATGAATAAAACCGACAAAACCCTTACAACATTCATAAAAAATCTGTGCTAAAAGAAGAGTCGTCTGTACATTTGTGACTATATCATAAGCATATATTTGTTTCAGCAGTATTACAGCTTATGATGTTGTTTGTAAACAAATCGAGTCTGGACCAGACAATCCAGTGATTGTCACCAGTAGTTATGTATTGGTCACGCTGGCAGTTTTTTGAATGGGCATTTCCATGTTAAAATTTTCGATAAAAAGAGGTCCCCCAATTAGCACGCTCTGTCCACCGTCCACTAATTAAACACATTGCCGCGTACGACAAACACCAACCCCGGGAAGCTACCGAGAAAAGTACACAGACGACCGTCCACAGATTAAACACATCGCCACGTAGGTAAACACATGTCCCGAGAAACTCCGAAGAAAAGTACACAAACGGTCGACATCGACTCGTAGGTAAAAGTATTTTAATGAGGTTTACATTATCACGAGAACCATAAAACATACGGACATACAAACACCGAATCCATTATATATTTCGCAATGGATACGAAACAATATCAATGGGTTATTGTCGCTAAGCCACCACAACGATATAGAGCGCATTTCGACGACTAAGTTGTGCTCGGATGCAGTCAACGTTGGTATTATTCAAAAGGAGAGTATGTGCGCCATCTGGAAGAGAAGCTGCGATATCAACCCGTGGACATACCGGATTCATGGGGAAGCCCGTACATATTTATATATTCTCGGACAGCGTACAATCAACGTAGTCCGAACATCATCGCGGACAGGAAATGAACTTACCAACGGAAGTGGACGAAATAGACTCTGAGAGAATAACAGCATATTTGGAATACTATCTATCGCGCGCCTATGCCGCAGTGGTATGGAAATTCATTAAGAAGAATGAGAGGGAGACAGAGCATGATTTCGATACACTTTTTCATACGTCTATGAAAGAGATTGACGATATGTTCCAATGTCCGATCAGTCTGAGTGGTTGTTTCAGGTACACGGAAAATTTATAAGGTTTATTTTCAGGAAAATACTCGACGCTATCGTCGCTCTTAGTCACAATCCATTCCGTTGACGTCATTCTCTCAATACGTGTACGTTCTTGATTTGGTCAGCGTCGATCCATGAATTGAATTTCTTTGGATATCCCAACCACTTCACTAAAAGCCGTTGGGTCATTTTCTTATTTCCATTCTTACCGACGTATTTCGTTTTGAGTATTTGTTCAACTCGCCAATTCACTTCATTGGGATCGTGAGGATATTTCTGCAACTCGGTTTGATAAAAGGATCCTTAATGGGATCGGATTGGAGGTCTTCTAGCCAATATACGTGTATATTGTCTCTGAGTTGTCGCTGACGTATCCTAAATACTTCTTCCGACCATTTCTGTTCGTTTTCCTTCTTGAACGTTCTCTTGACCAATGATACTCTGACGTGGTCTTCTACTTTAAATGCAAAGTTGCTGTTTGGTAGAGGTTTGATATTCGCTTTGTCCGCGTATATATCCAACCATATGCTAGCTTCGTTTGATGGTTTCACTTCCACGGGTGCTCTTCCTCTCAGGCTCCTGTGCGGGCGACGGTTGTAGTTATAAACAAGGTCTTGTAATACATCGATGTACCTATGGGTATGGGGGCGGCGGGGTAGCCTAGTGGTTAAAGCGTTGGCTCGTCACGCCGAAGACCCGGGTTCGAATCCCCACATGGGTACAATGTGTGAAGCCCATTTCTGGTGTCCCCGCCATGGAATATCTCAAAGTACGTAAAATGTCAGAACGTATGAGTGTGCGTGAGGAATCTATACATCATAGATCTCAAAGTACGAATGAAACGTTCGGCGTAGTTCGCTTTAATGTCTCACGTTTGACGTTAAATAGAGTGTAAATCCGTTGCACTGTTTGATTATTAAATTCCATTCCTTTGTCCGTTCTTAGACTGTATGGCGGTTTCTTCATGGATGACAATAGTTCCCTCATTGCTTTGGCGGTCGTGTTTGATTCTTTATTTTTCAAAGGTTGGACCCAGACACATCTCGAAAAGCAGTCGATTACGATGAGAATATACTTAATTCCATTGTTGTCTTGCGCTAGCCTAGATACGTCGCATAAGTCTCCGTCTGCTTGTATGTACATTCCTCCCACGATGACTTTATTTCTTGAAAATCGTTTCTTTGGTAAACGATGTAGGTTGTAGGCGTCTTGCGTTCTCATCCATCTATGTACGCCATGAGAAGAGACGTTAGGGTTACGACGCTTGAGAGCGGAGTAAAATTTTTGTTCACCCGCGAAAGCGCCTGGTTTCTTGGGATCGTAGTATTCCTGTTGATAATCAACCTTCATGACTATATTTTCCCACACCAACGTTTAACCGTCCGTTTGATATGGTTCATCCACTGGTCGGTTTTGACAGTGTCTCTGTAGTCTCTACTTTGATATTTCAGAAAATATAATGGAGAGAAGACGCGTAGATACGGATCACCATCCACGTACTGACGCCACTTCAGAATAACCGCGTCTTCGTCAATCGCTTTCATAGACGTATGAAAAAGTGTATCGAAATCATGCTCTGTCTCCCTCTCATACTTCTTAATGAAGTTCCATACCACTGCGGCATAGGCGCGCGATAGATAGTATTCCAAATATGCTGTTATTCTCTCAGAGTCTATTTCGTCCACTTCCGTTGGTAAGTTCATTTCCTGTCCGCGATGACGTACGGACTACCTTGATTGTACGCTGTCCGAGAATATATAAATATGTACGGGCTTCCCCATGAATCCGGTATGTCCACGGGTTGATATCGCAGCTTCTCTTCCAGATGGCGCACACACTCTCCTTTTGAATAATACCAAAGTTGGCTGCATCCGAGCACTTCGTCGTCGAAATGCGCTCTATATCGTTGTGGTGGCTTAGCGACAATAACCCATTGATATTGTTTCGTAACCATTGCGAAATATATAATGACTTCGGTGTTTGTATGTCCGTATGTTTTATGGTTCTCGTGAGTATGTAACCTCATTTAAGTACTTTTACCTACGAGTCGATGTCGATCGTTTGTGTACTTTTCTTCGGAGTTTCTCGGGACATGTGTTTACCTACGTGGCGATGTGTTTAATCTGTGGACGGTCGTCTGTGTACTTTTCTCGGTAGCTTCCCGGGGTTGGTGTTTGTCGTACGCGGCGATGTGTTTAATTAGTGGACGGTGGACAGAGCGTGCTAATTGGGGGACCTCTTTTTATCGAAAATTTTAACATGGAAATGCCCATTCAAAAAACTGCCAGCGTGACCAATACAAAACTACTGTCACCATGCGATACGATATATGATAGAGCATGTGTTTATGAATCACCATGAAATAGTGATGATACCAGGTGTTCGCGAAAAGGTGAGGGTATCTAGCCCCAACCCGTCATGAACATATGCAAAGTCAAGTCAATTATTCACTTGAAATAGTTCACGAACGTACGGTACAAGTCAAAATTGCATCGGACACCATGTTTGTCACTGATGCATCAAATTTCGAAATCTTGGTTAATTCAGTGGAAGGGAATTGTCTATTTGATGGTTATTGAACGACATCATATCATCGATATACCTGAAGCTCAAGTTAAACTTTTTGGCCAGATTACCTTGTTTTGATTTTTCCAACCCAAGCAGAAATCCTGATTTATATGCATAAAGAAACAGATCCATAAGATGACCACAAATTAAAATTTGACTAATTGAACAAAGATTTGAAAGTTAAGATGAAACATGAAGGTCAGGTCACGATCCCGCCTCTGGTTCCGCCTGTTGGTTTTATAAGAAAATGACTTCGTGTCATTCCATTGGCCATTGGAAGTGACTGTCTACAACGCCCCTTTGTGAGACATGAATAACCAACATGGCTCTCGTGCCACCAGCATTGCCTCTTACACCCGGGATCAATGGTTGAGTAGATGCATATTTTATGTCCGTTTCAGATGCTTTTATCCGTGAAGATGAAGATGACCGTGACTGACTGAGCGATCAACATATTGGTATAATAAGTGTTTCTACCCATTTAGTCTGTCAGCGCCACATGTCATTGTTTGTTGGTGTCATTTCCATACGTCAGTCCGTCCGTTACATCACATAAATAATGTGGAAAACACAGCCTGGTTCCCGCGGTTTGCTGCGCTACACATAGAACACTCCGGGAACCAGGCTGTGGAAAACAACACCAATGCATGCTGACCTTGAGGCTGGGCAGTAATAAGAGCGCCCTCTCGTGTATGTCCCGAGAATCTGCCTCATCCACGTCTTCATTCCAGTTCCCCTCTTGTAACACTCCTCCGACTACAAGGCTGCGACAGCTACAACAACGACAAGTTTACAGAGCATTCATGTAAATTGTTACATATGAAATATACATACAATTTGTCTCACCCACTTTTGCACGGTTAATTCAAACATTCTGATATCCCTTTCATAACATCAGTATGACGCTTACAGTCTTACAATTGCCTTGATACCACAGCGTCGTGTCCCCAGCGGCCTGTGAATGGGGAGACCAGGTTAACCAATGGGTGAAGCACCATCATTTCAACATATAGTGCAAGGATATAAGCAATTAGCCAGGTAACATAAGGTAGTAATTAATGTTGTTTTATACCACCTTGTCAGTGTTCCATCAATGTCACGGAAGGGGGATAACACATTACACATTATATATATGTAAAAAAATATTGCAACACCCATGAATTGTAACTATTTAAGTTCATATCTTAATTACGTTGTATAATTATTTTGTTCATTTAATTGGGTGTACCCTACATTCATCTGCACGTGTTACGATCATAGGCGAGTACCCTTCATTAAGCAAATATCAAGTTTCAGTAAACTGTTCTCAAAGCTCGTTAACTTCGAAAATCAATTGATTTCGTTTTTGATAAGCAAATACGGGCCTTCTCACCAGGCAATACGATGGCAAATTAATGGTAGACGGAAGACTAGCATGTCATTGACGGCTATTGCAAGACATGTTGTCATCCATCGAGTATCAGCCGACTTGTCAAAAAATAACAGAAAACTAATGACTTTGAGGACCGTCGGCGTTCTGGTCGACCACGATGAACATCTGCTAGGAAGGATACAGCCCTTTCTCAGAATCATCATCAGTCCCTGCCAACAGAGTGGCTTCCACATCGTCATTTGTCCAACAGACACCGTGCGAAATCGCCTAAAATTGGCCAGACGACATGTCCGTTGTTATCCCCTGACCACAAAGCAGCACGATTATAGCTTGGAGTCAAGCTCGACCTCACTGGACTTGGAGAAAGGTCGACCGGTCGGAAGAAAGTCGTTATCTTTTGTTCACGACTGATGGCCTAGCTTGTGTTTGGTGCCGCAGGAATGTCAACGGGGCAAGTACTGTTTGAATTTCTTTGATGGTGTGGGGAGTCTCTCAGGTGACCGCGAGCCCCACCTTGTGAGTGAGTGAGTGAGTGAGTTCAGATTTACGCCGTACTCGGCAATATTCCAGCTATATGGCGGCGGTCTGTAAATAATCGAATCTGGACCAGACAATCCAGTGATCAACAGCATCGATCTGCGCAATTGGAAACCGATGACATGTGTCAACCAAGTCAGCAAGACTGACCACCCGATCCCGTTAGTCGCCTCTTACGACAAGCATGGGTTACTGAAGACTAATTCTAACCCGGACCTTCACGGGTACTCCACCTTGTGACCATCAGACAAAATCTAAACGACAACCTTACATTGCTGACATCATAGACAGAATTGTTGTACCGCATTTCTATGGGCATCCTCTGAACACAAGGCCAGTCTTCATTGACGTCAATTTTAGGCATCATTGTACACGTGGGGGATTTCTTACATCAACTCTACTTTGGCCCGCCAGGATGTGTGGCACAGTCAGCGTTGTCCACCGAAGTCCAGATCTCAATCCCATAAAGCACGTTTGCCACATTATGCGTCTCAGAATACGGCATAGACATCCTCCTGTATATAATCTTTGGAAAAAGCCCGCCAAGAATGGAACGCAATACCCCAACGTCAAAGTCAGCGTTTGCTACAGTCGGTGAGGGGGAGGGTCAGAGACAGAGATGGTATTGCAGCTGGCGGACGTTCCACCAGGCATTGTGCTCGGTTATTGGTATGTATGTGATTTCTTGAGGATTGTATGCCAGAATCTTCAACATGACCTTACCTGTAAACGTCATACGATCATAGTTATCAGCACTACAAAATGAGTCAATGTTTTCCCATGGTTGTGTCTATGAAGAAACTACTGTTTTCCGTCCTTTTTGCTTAAATATTTGCATTTCAATTGTTCCTTGAGGGTCAGTTTATCCAAATAGTAAGTAAAATTGAGGTTTGGATAAGTTCCTTTGATATGGTTATTGGCAATATATTGATACTATGAAAAATGCTGCGATACTTTTCCATGTAAATATAACGACCACATCTAAAGTCAGATCTTTCTGCAGTGAGCACGATAGACCAACAATCTATCCCTCGTCAGAAGGGACGAATGGACTGACAGGTATATGCATGTAGTCTGTGACATAGGCAAAGTCTGTACTTATCAAGAACTGTATTGTAATAAACAAAATGGTCGGCAGCGTCTCTACATGCATTCTTTTGAAGACATATTTCTTTTGGCATTTAATGTGTATTATTTAATTAGCAACACTTTACGCCAAGAGTCATTGTTGTGGCTGCGGCAACGTAAGATATGTCAATAAACATTTGAAATTGAACGTTCACTGTATGCAGCCAGCATGTTAACTTCCACCAGAACCCTGACACTGCACGGATGGTGTCCGAATGTCACAAGTTGTATTACAACTACGTTCATTAATCCTGGGGAAACTATGACGGCGGGAGGTGAGTGGAAGGTATAGGTTAGATAGGCAACAGAAGGGAGTTTGTAATTTTTACATACACTCTGTGAGAATACGAACACAAACGTACGAAGGAATCAGGTAGGTTGCAGCAGCATTGCTTGGTTTGGAGAAGTAAAAATGTTTCACCCAGGGAGCTCGCATCTGTAATCATCATACAAAGAATCGGAATAAGCGGTTTGTTAGCAAACAAGAGAAAAGTCTGGTTACATTATGTTAGTCTGTGGCAGTGGAAGCATCACTCAGACACTGGCCATTTACAAGCACTAGAACCCATCGTAAGGTGATCGGTTGGCATAGGTTTTACATGGACATAACTACATCCACTGAGAATTATATGATTCCAGAATAGATCTATACATATATATGACACAGGTAATAAAGATGCACTGTGAATTCCAGATCGAGGATATCTTCTTTCCCTCACTTGAGTATAGAAGAGAATTATCAAGAAATATCGACATGCTTTTCAGCTACATTTTACAATATCTTATCATATGCACCTAGCATAAAGACAGTCGCTGTATAATGTTAATAATGCCTACAGTCTTACCCGCAGCACTTGGCCTCGCACTGGCTTGAGAGACGTGTCCCGCATGAGACTATAGGAGCCCAACCCTGTACAGTTGACCACGACGTCATACTGGCCGGACATCTGCGGACAAGGTCACATCGTGAGCGACATGGAGCATGCACGGAGCCAACAAGCCAGGCACAGCTGACATCATAACTCCTTGATCATTCACGATCGCCCATCCCTCCACACCCACAGTTAACACTCGGCGCCTCCAGGGATGTATTACGGTAAAACGAGAATAAAAAGGGTATGGTGCAGTAATTTATCTGAGGCAGTGTGCAGTGTTTGCATCATGTGCTAGACAGGCTCTATGGGAGAACTGGACCTCTGGCGGAACAAGAGAGAGTTGCTTTAAGCGTTTTCGGTGAGTATCAGATGAACAGCAGAGAACAACTGACCTCCTCCAGAGACTCTACTTTTCTTTGCTGAACTGTGCCACCTTGACGCACGAACCTGCAACAGTGCAAATATACTGTCACCACGGCAAGCGACATATCAACCAGTATACGTTGGCCGTCCCAGTGCAGATAATGTCTGTGTGGAATGTGTGGATCATCTCCATTTTCAATGCACATCACGAGATCTAACTGAAGGGCCGTACAGAAAAACATACCTCTTCATTGTCCATCTCGACATCTATCTGAAGCGTCGTGTGTACAACATACCTCTCCATCGTCCATCTCGACATCTATCTGAAGCGTCGTGTGTACAACATACCTCTCCATCGTCCATCTCGACATCTAACTATAGCGTCGTGTGTACAACATCCCTCTCCATCGCCCGTCTAGACATCTATCAGTTTGGTCGTGTGTACAACATGCCTCTCCATCGTCCATCTCAACATCTATCAGTTTGGTCGTGTGTACAACATACCTCTCCATCGTCCATCTCGACATCTATCAGTTTGGTCGTGTGTACAACATACCTCTCCATTGTCCATCTCGACATCGGTCTGAAGAGCCGTGTGTACAACATACCTCTCCATTGTCCATCTCAACATCTATCTGTAGCGTCGTGTGTACAACATACCTCTCCATCGTCCATCTCGACATCTGTCTGATCGTGTGTACAACATACCTCTCCATCGTCCATCTCGACATCTGTCCGTAGGGTCGTGTGTACAACATACCTCTCCATTGTCCATCTCGACATCTGTCTGTAGGATCGTGTGTACAACATACCTCTCCATCAACATATGTAGGTACAGCTCGACATCAATTTGCAGGGTTGTATGGAAGCTGCCATTTCTACAAGACGAGAGCGCGTGAACGAATTAACGGAATTGTTTATGTCAGTGTATGCCATTTTCGACATTTAGACAAAAAACTTAATTAAGCACCCCCTGTATTTTTGCAATGACAGGTTTTCAACACGTACATAAAACTTCTCGTGGTGACCACGATGGAAAAACATGTGTTTTTCTGACCCGATGATCCTTTGATCAAAATGACAAAATGATTGGAATCCATGTTGATTTAATGATGATAATTGCTCATTTTGAAAAACACTGATTTTCATACAAAACCATGTCTTGGAAAGTTTAATGTTGAATTTATTGGTGAATTATAAACATTCAAAATGTCATTTTGCGTGTCACACACGATATAATGTCATTACCGAGAGTAACCTCCATGTGACTGTATAACAGCCAGTACATTCTCCTCATACCCCCTGTCAGCCTCCTGATACTCTGAAGGGGCAGTCTAGTAGACGCCCTTTCTCGTGTAAAGCAGCTTCCAGTTGGGCCAGGTTCTGTACAGGAGGATCCCTTTGTTGCACACGACGACCAATCATGTCCCAGATATGCTCCAAAGGGTTAAGATCGGGGCTCATTCAATCGTTAAATATGTCAAGGGGTGCTTAACTAAGTTCTTTGTTTGTATATATAATATTTGTTTTATTTAGTTCTATTTCATTTTTACAAAAGCATATGAATACACATATATATCAATAATTCATTAGATAGAAAGTGACAGGTTGACCAATACTTATTGAAGTTTTCCTTCTTAGAAGTTGCAATTGCTGTGCATTTTGCTTAAATTTCTTCTATTGTATATAAAGTTTTTCGTGAGGATCACATATTCTAGTGAGACATATTCTTTCACAATGTTAACGTCTATCTGAAAGTTTGCCAAAAGGTTCCAAACCCCCAATTGTTTGGCGGGTGAACAGTTTCTGTACAAGCCAATGTCTACCTGTCCCATTTCATAAAGAAGAGGCTGTGTGAACATGTGTCTCTCATAATGAAACCGTTATTTACATGATCACATACACTTTAGATTAGATTGTAAACTTCGCGATATGTTTAACAGATTGTCGGTGTAAGAGAAATGTTCCACCTTGTTCAAATATTTACTTTTGCTTTTTCTCTGATAATTTGGTAGAAATATTGCGAACCATGTTTTTTTAAAATTAAGTATGTAAGAAACTACAAAGGTAAATGTAGACAGGCCAGTTTGGGTTTATTACAAATTCTTATATATTTTATTGTCGACAGTATTGTTTAATGGACTGGGTTTTATTGAATAGGTGATGTAATTGGTTTTTATACCGTACATTCCGCTGAATACAAGCAGTGAGAGTTCTTTATTTCTGAACTGTAGGCCAGGGGCCCATAGTACAAGTAACAAACAGTTACAATGGGTGTGTGGTACAAGCGCGTTTGCGTTTTAACAGTGCATGGTGTATAAACGTAACAATATTCTGAAGAAGCTGTACATTTTCTGTTGACATTAGTATGTTGAATTTGTAAATAGGTGAGGTAATTGTTTTTATAGGGTACCTTTTTTCAATAATTTGTAAAAGTAAGAAACAGCCCATTTTCATCAAGTCATCTATCAATCTTTCTCAAACCGCAGTTTGTAACCAATTCCTTGTTGTCCCGCTTGCGGCGGAGATATTATTCATTATGAGAACGTCTGTGAAAATCTGTCAAAGCAAAGTTCATACCTCTGCCTGGTATTTGGGACCGTAATATACATACCTTGCCATTGGAAACTGTTTTAGCTCATCAGCGGTGAGCTGGCGGAAGCCAAACACTTGGTCTTTGAAATCTGGATCCTGTACAGAAAGGAAGGAGAAATGGTAACTGAAGCTATTGTTGTGGAATACACAGAGCTGTCGTGAATACATGTCACCCGACATTGGTTTTGCTTAAGGCCAGGCTACAGGTACCCATGGGACAATGTCTGTCAGACAGTGTGCAGCCCGACTCTCGCTTGTAGGTACTGAAGGAAGGAACAGTGGTAACAGAGAAGCTTGTGTATCCTAACACACTGAGCTGTGTTACCGAGATACTCACGGGACAGTCTCCGTCAGTCAGTGTGAAGCCCGACATCAGCTGACACCCAACCCTTTGGGCGACCGGGGAGTTGTATATACTGAGGAGATAATCCCACGTCACAGAGCTCCATGTTCTGTAGAAAGAGGAAATAAATATCACATTTGCGCCAAGAAAGATATCACAGAACTTATTAACTCCCACGACCCGTGAAGGTCCGGGTTAGAATATTGATCTTCAGTAACCCATGCTTGTCGTAAGAGGCGACTAACATGATCGGGTGGTCAGGCTCGCTGACTTGGTTGACACATGTCATCGGTTCCCAATTGCGCAGATCGATGTTCATACTGTTGATCACTGGATTGTCAGGTCCAGGCTCGATAATTTTCAGACCGCCGCCATATAGCTGGAATATTGCTGAGTGCGGCGTAAAACTCATTCACTTACTATTAACTCCCACATGAAACTGGAACAGCCGGGGAGATATGGTATCTGACAGGAGGGTACATGTTTGAGAAAAACTGCTGTAGTGTTGGAATCAAAATTATCACCAAATATGTGCAATATTACGTAATCCTGGTAACAGGTCCGTCCACGTACTTGATGAGGTCTTTAGGGGTATCCCCGAGACAATATGGCTCCCAAAGCCCACCAGACACGTCCGACGTTGTTTTGGGTGAAAACACGTCTGCCACGAGAGTGACCTCAACATTTGGACACTGACGCTGGACATACACGGCGGACGCCAACCCACTGACGCCCGCGCCGATCACACAAACTCTCTTCCCCACCATGACGTTGGGACTGAAACAGGATCCGGTGTTTTTTATGTTGAAGTATAATAAGAAATGTTGTGTTGTAGGTTGTTACATGTAAGTACCAACCAACACGGAGACAATATGATCATACAGTGTTTGACGCAATGTACAATACCGTTAGCGTCCAGTATGTCTCCAGGCAACTGTTCCTGTTGCCATGGTGTTTACATCCAGGAGAATGTCCAAGTAACTCTCCTGTCCTTACAACAGAGCAGTCAAACGAGTCTAATTTAAAAATGTAAAATTAAATCATGTCAGTACGGAATAATACGTTTATCCATACACGTTATTAACACTCAACGTCCTATAGATATGTGTTCTATATTCCCTAATGAGTCAGAGGCAGGTCAGACCTCGTAAACGGAATCGACACACTCCAACCTAGTTACCGAGCGGCAGTATTCATGTCAGTTTCACGCACGTGTTTATACAGGTATATATACACTAGTTAGGTCACTATTACAGAGATAATATAGGTTTATATACATCAGTTATGTCATTATTGTAGAGATAATACAGGTTTATATACACAAGTTATGTCACTATTACAGAGATAATACAGGTTTAAATACACCAGTTAGGTCACTATTGCAGAGATAATACAGGTTTATATACACTAGTTATGTCACTATTTCAGAGATAATACAGGTTTAAATACACCAGTTATGTCACTATTGCGGAGATAATACAGGCGTATATATACACTGGTTTTCCATCGTTAAACATCATGCGATATATGAGTCACGCGCTATGGCTTCATGTTTCACAATATTCAGCATAATCCTCACACCTGACATATTAACCTAAATAGAGAGCGTGCCACGAATGCTCTATCCACTGCTCGTTTAGTCATCATCGAATACTCACCACAAAGCAGTTGAACATGCCACAGCATATAAGTTTGATCTAAGTATTCTTCTGATGGATTATAGAATCTATCCCTATCCTGTAATGTACGTTTACGTGTTTTCCGATCACGAACCTCACTGCTGGATCTTATACAAACTGACGTTTGTTTACCTTCAATTAGTCTACTAAAGACTTTGTCTTCCAAGACATGTCACTTATCTTGACTTTGATATAGCTACCTTCTCACGCTCTGCGGTGGTAGGATACTCCCGTGTCAGGGCCAGTGGAGAGTCAGAAGGCAGAGTCGACCAAATCGAGAGAGACAGGCAAGGTCCAAGATACGAGGTCGAGTGTGTATGTTATGTTGGCAGAGAGGTGGCGTCGTAAAGGGGCACTCATCTATGGTTTCAATCCGACAGTCTAGCTGCCCCGTGACTTCTGTGCATCGAGTTACTGGCAGATCGAGCGTGGCTATAGAATAAGCTGCTATCAGTAAGGAAAGAACTTTTAGACAATGTTTATACGTATGTGCGCATAATTTACTGATTTATTCAACCTTAACGAGCCAAAGAGGAGCCAAAGTGGTCATTCATTGGTGTATCATAAGTTGCAAACAGGCTACTGAAGTGGTTAAACCAGGCATCAGTACTGATATTCGGACGAGGTCGGTGCAAAGGAGATATACTTCTGATGATACGCCAAAATGTCTTTGGGTTACTTGCTTTAATGCATCAGCTTTGTTGCGCTCATACGAGAGCTTTGTGCGCCTACAGATACCCTTACATAGATTCCTCTGTTTGCAATAATTAAGCCGGTTTACGCCGATGTGTAGCATGTCGACCCCTCGGATGGTATGTAGAGATCTATCATAATAACATCTTTTTTACTTTACAATATCTGTTTAGGAATACAAAAGGCAATTAGATTATCAACATCCAATTTCAGTAAAGTGCAGAAATGGGATACGATGTTATGTATGAAAGCAAATACTCCTCCCGACAATCTCCCGTGTCTGGCAGTTTCCATTGCTTTCACTATGTATTGTGTATAGTCAGACAGTGTATTGTGTATAGTCAGACAGTGTATTGTGTATAGTCAGACAGTGTATTGTGTATAGTCAGACAGTGTATTGTGTATAGTCAGACAGTGTATTGTGTATAGTCAGACAGTGTATTGTGTATAGTCAGACAGTGTATTGTGTATAGTCAGACAGTGTATTGTGTATAGTCAGACAGTGTATTGTGTATAGTCAGACAGTGTATTGTGTATAGTCAGACGGTGTATTGTGTATAGTCAGACAGTGTATTGTGTATAGTCAGACAGTGTATTGTGTATAGTCAGACAGTGTATTGTGTATAGTCAGACAGTGTATTGTGTATAGTCAGACAGTGTATTGTGTATTGTGTAGTCAGACAGTGTATTGTGTATAGTCAGACGGTGTATTGTGTATAGTCAGACAGTGTATTGTGTATAGTCAGACAGTGTATTGTGTATAGTCAGACAGTGTATTGTGTATAGTCAGACAGTGTATTGTGTATAGTCAGACAGTGTATTGTGTATAGTCAGACAGTGTATTGTGTATAGTCAGACAGTGTATTGTGTATAGTCAGACAGTGTATTGTGTAGTCAGACAGTGTATTGTGTATAGTCAGACAGTGTATTGTGTATAGTCAGACAGTGTATTGTGTATAGTCAGACAGTGTATTGTGTATAGTGTGTATAGTCAGACAGTGTATTGTGTATAGTCAGACAGTGTATTGTGTATAGTCAGACAGTGTATTGTGTATAGTCAGACATTGTGTGTATTGTGTATAGTCAGACAGTGTATTGTGTATAGTCAGACAGTGTATTGTGTATAGTCAGACAGTGTATTGTGTAGTATTGTATAGTCAGACAGTGTATTGTGTATAGTCAGACAGTGTATTGTGTATAGTCAGACAGTGTATTGTGTATAGTCAGACAGTGTATTGTGTATAGTCAGACAGTGTATGGTGTATAGTCAGACAGTGTATTGTGTATAGTCAGACAGTGTATTGTGTATAGTCAGACAGTGTATTGTGTATAGTCAGACAGTGTATTGTGTATAGTCAGACAGTGTATTGTGTATAGTCAGACAGTGTATAGTATTGTGTATGTGTATCAGACAGTGTATTGTGTATTGTGTATAGTCAGACAGTGTATTGTGTATAGTCAGTGTATTGTGTATAGTCAGACAGTGTATTGTGTATAGTCAGACAGTGTATTGTGTATAGTCAGACAGTGTATTGTGTATAGTCAGACAGTGTATTGTGTATATCAGTCAGTGTATTGTGTATAGTGTATTGTGTATAGTCAGACAGTGTATTGTGTATAGTCAGACAGTGTATTGTGTATAGTCAGACAGTGTATTGTGTATCGTCAGACAGTGTATGGTGTATCGTCAGACAGTGTATGGTGTATCGTCAGACAGTGTATTGTGTATCGTCAGACAGTGTATTGTGTATCGTCAGACAGTGTATTGTGTATCGTCAGACAGTGTATTGTGTATAGTCAGACAGTGTATTATGTATCGTCAGACAGTGTATTGTGTATAGACAGTGAGAGCGACGTTTCTGTGTAGTTCTAACACCGTTAACCTTCCTTACTGCTCCAACTTCTAAATGCCTCTCAAAGAAGTTAGAGGTTATACCGTTGATGTTCCAAGAAAGAACCTCTAACAAATGTGTAAGTGAGTACTCATCTGATATGCTATCAGCTGTTGAAGTAGGTTGCCGCGGGCCTTGGCCACACCCCTATTCATCAGGAGTCCCAGTAGGCGGGGCCCGTGACCTTGGCCTCGCAGCCGTTTATCTGCGACCGGGACTATGGTTCTGGTGCTTGTGGTTTTATCATCATTCATCGGTATTGTGATCAGTCTACCATTTTTGTCGAAGGCAATCAAACCACGACTGCGAATGTCAGCGATAGTTAATCTCTGATTTTGTGTGAGGTCATTTGATATACCAATAGTGTTGCCTTTAAAGGATTGACGTTTGCTGAGCACATGAATCTTATCCTCAGTGCACGCAAATTTAGCAATAATAAGTCCTGGTTTGTCTCTTCCGACCTATACGGTGGGCTCTCACTATATCTCCTTCTAACCACGCCTTGTCTGGTACATTGCAGTTGAGAAGAGATAATACGGTATTTCTGCAATCTTCGTGGGGGTTTCTACTTGCTCTGTGACACCATAGAATATGACGTTGTTCCTACGGCTCAGTCTATAAACCTGTGTCATCTCTGTAATATTGACATAACTAGTGTATATAGACCTATATTATCTCTGTAATAGTGATATAACTAGTGTATATAGACCTATATTATCTCTGTAATAGTGACATAACTAGTGTATATAGACCTATATAATCTCTGCAATAGTGACATAACTAGTGTATATAGACCTATATTATCTCTGTAATAGTGATATAACTAGTGTATATAGACCTATATTATCTCTGTAATAGTGACATATCTAGTGTATATAGACCTACATGTATATTATCTCTGCAATAGTGACATAACTAGTGTATATAGACCTATATTATCTTTGCAATAGTGACATAACAAGTGTATATAGACCTATATTATCTCTGCAATAGTGATATAACTAGTGTATATAGACCTATATTATCTCTGCAATAGTGACATAACTAGTGTATATAGACCTATGTTATCTCTGTAATAGTGACATAACTAGTGTATATAGACCTATATTATCTCTGCAATAGTGACATAACTAGTGTATATAGACCTATATTATCTCTGCAATAGTGACATAACTAGTGTATATAGACCTATATTATCTCTGCAATAGTGACATAACTCGTGTATATAGACCTATATTATCTCTGCAATAGTGACATAACTAGTGTATATAGACCTATATTATCTCTGCAATAGTGACATAACTATCCTTAAGTGGCATTTAGAAGTTAATAGTGATGAAGTGTAGACCTATATTATATGGATAGAGTGACATTTGTAGTGTATATAGACGTTTCTCTGTAGTGATCTACTACCGAAACGTCGCAACTACTGCAACAAATAACTCGTGTCTATCCTAAAATAGTGTTACACTTCGTGACATAACTAGTGTATATAGACCTATATTATCTCTGCAATAGTGACATAACTAGTGTATATAGACCTATATTATCTCTGCAAT